AACACAATAAAAGGTACTCTCCCTTCTTCTTAGAATAGAGAAACTTTTATCTTTCTGCCTACTTGATTCTTCTTATTCGTTCTGCTATTGATTGAAACTCTTTCAATCAACTCAGAATTATACTTAATCTTATAAGTATAATCATATTTACTAAACTTTAGTAAATCATGACGAATATCTTTATCACTCTTGTGGTGGACTTGATCAACGCACAACCTAGTGTACTCGATCTCCTGGTCCTTCTCTTGACACTTTGCCAAAGAATTAGTCTAATTTCCAAAAATATGAAGTTTCTCATTCATCACGCAACCAAGTTGTATGATTCCAAGTTTCTATTCAATGGAAACTTGGGCGATGAGAATCTTCCTTTATTTGGCAAATCCTCGACATTTCACAATCAAGAATCACATCCAATTGCTAAAATTAGAAATACATAAACATCCATTTTTCACATATGCCATTGCAAGGATAAATAAATAGGACGAAATCAAAATTCATTTTATTGCGGAAAAACTTGTCCTTACAATGCAATTCAAATGAAAACTATGCTATTTCAATTTCTAATCAATCTAGTCTAACTCTAAAGTAGTAGCTCAAAAATCCGATCTTTAAGCAATGCGATCGAAATCCATTTCTTCACGATCAGATTCAGCTTACTTCTTCCCTTAAGCTTCCTCTCTTTTCTTCGATCCTACAAAACATCAAAAACATCATGTATTGAAAATCAAAGAATAGGAACTTATAGAGTTAGTTATTGGATTTTACCTGAAGTAGAGCCATACGTCTTGACTCTCCCATCTCTTAGATCTCTCAGGTAAACAGGGCAGCTTCGTCTCCAATGCCCCTTCTCTTGGCAGTAGAAGCAGATGGACTCTTTTGGAATGGCACAAGGAACTATCTCAGAATTTACCTTTTCTGGATTTCCAATGTCACCATTTTCAATGTCCATTGAAGTTTGGGAGTTTGATTTTCCAGACAAATTTGCTCGATCAGCACGCCAAATCATTTCTGATTCAGCAGCTATAAGCAAATAGGTCAAATCAATGAGGGTCACGTCATGGTCCATCATATAGTACTCTCTAACGAACTCACTATATGATTCAGGAAGTGACTGAAGAACCCAGTCAACAGCCAACATTTCTGAGATATCGACACCCATCATCCTTAACCTATCAATGTGTGACTTCATCTCTAAGATGTGTGCACACACAGGTTTCCCATCTTCGTGTTTACTTGCCAATAGGGCTTGAGTGAGCTTGAACTTTTCAAGCCTTTGAACTTGTGGGTTAGGGAGAATAATTGGAGGAGGTGGAGGAAGTGAAGCATGACTCTCATTTCCTTGATCGTATCGTGGAACGTCATCTTCATTTGGAAAGCTTGTTCCAAGGGACTTGGGAAGACCATTGTAAGATTTAGACATCTACAAAACGGGAGAAAATTCAAGTTAGTTGATAAGAATTCTTGATGTAACACCCAAATGAAACATCAAGGCTAGGATCCAACACAACATTCTACAACCTAGAAGAGGGATGCCGTAATCTAGTTGCAGAATATTTGAAGGTAGGTAAATGACGATTTACCAATTTCCACCATGAAAAACGAAAAAGAAATTTAAGTTTTAAATGAATTGAAACTCCTAGATCTTTTGAGATTCATTGAACTTTTCAATGGCATGTTTAATCTCGATTATGCCCTTCTATTTGTGACTGGGATGCCGAGGATCACAAACAAGGTGTGAATAACCATACGAATCACGTGGTGCACCCAATTGCTACTATCACCTAATCAATGTGCCGGTTAGCCACACACGCTCCATTGATCTATGATAAACATCGAGCCACCCTTCGCCACCAATGTCAATCCCAAATTAGTGTGCCGGTTAGCCACACACGCTCCACTAACGTTTGACAAGGGTACGAAGTGTAATTCCATGGATTAGCATACAAATTCACATTTGCCCTAAAGTAACTAAGATTGGGAATTTGTAAAAGCATTTAGTTACTTTGTACTTCATTATACTTATAATGGAAGGTTTCGTCCTATCCTACCCGTTCGGCTAACGACCCTCCACTAGTCAAGAGTGCGGTGGGTAAGAGTGGATACCCATTCAATCGCCATTTTATAGGCAATTTCCTTAAACACCCCTTATAGACCAGCTTCGTGAATGAGGCCTACTAACGGTAAGACTGACTCTTTACTCATATATATAATATTAGACTTTTAATGTTACATATATATAGTATAGGGTGTATTTTACACTTTTAAAATACTAGGTGGTTTTATTAACTTTCTCTTTTAATTAAACTTTTAATTAACTTAACAAAACCATGAGGGTGTAATTTGAACTTTTCAAAATACTAGAGTTTTAGAATTTAAATATTACATAATTAAACTATTAATCAAAATTTTAAATTCCAAAACTTGAGGGCAAGTTTTGAAACATTTCAAAACATTAGGTTTTAGAATTTAAATATTTCAACATTAAACTTTTAATCAAAATTTTAAATTCCAAAACTTGAGGGCAAGTTTTGAAACTTTTCAAAACATTAGGGTTTAACTATTTAAATTTCAAAAACAAAACTTTTAAGTTCAAATTTAAACTATAAAACCTAAAGGGAGTAATTTGAAACTATTCAAACTTACTAGGGATCAAATAACAAATAATATAAATCAAACAATTAATTTAGTGATTATCTATATTTGACCTAATCCAATTTTAGTCACAAGATAATTACCAAATAATTTGAATAATCTATATTTATCATATAAAGAAACTATTATTCAAAAGATTTGAAATTATCTTTTGTTTTGGTAAGGATAATCATTTACATACAATAAAATTCGGATTTTATTATCAAAAAACGATTTTGGCATCAATCCTACAGCAAAACAGCAAGTAAATCCCGAAATATACTCTGTCAGATTCCCGGACTCGCCGAGTCAGTCCTGAACTCGCCGAGTAGGGCCAAATCGCCGAGTCCAGATACTGACTCGCCGAGTTGAGTCGGGCAGAGGCAAAAAAAATGATTTTCAGCAGAAAAACGACAATTGCATCACATACAACAGAAACCAATCAAGGCTCTGATACCACTGATGGGTTTTAAGCATAAGAACAATCCTATGTGCTCATACAAACCCTAATGTTTGGATCTAGGTTTCTCTATTGTACATGCAATGAATCCAAGACTTACAAACCCTAGATCTATCAAATAAGAACTGAAATAAGGGTTTAGTAATTACCTTTTTGATTGTTATATAGCAATAACATTCAATCCTTGCTTTGATTGACTTCAGAAAGCTTAGTGCCTCAAGTGTTGCACCTCTAATGGAGTCACAAACACCACTAAGCAACTTGGATGAAGAGGGAGGAGAGAGGAGGCACCAAAAACGGGCAGGAAACCCTAAAGGATTACTTGTCCACGTTTTTGGGGGCTTAAGGGTCCTTTATATACATGTAGGCTATTAGGGTTTACAACTAGGAAACCCTAATCTGACTGCTTAAGCCCTAAGCAGTCCATGGACTCCTTTAACATATCCCTTGGACGATTTCTAATGGGCTTCCCATAGAATTCGTCCAACCTATATATTATTAGGTGATCCATAGCCCAATCGTAATTATCTTATAATTACAAATCCAGTCCCCTAAGTTTAATTAATCTCTTTTAGCCACAAAATTAAATCTTAATTAATTCTTGACTAATATTAATTAAACTATATGATTTCTCCTTTAATATATTATTCTTATAATATATTAATAAATCATAATTAAACCTTTCTCTCCTTAATTCATCCTACATATTGCTATGGTGAAGGCAACCCAAAAGGACCATGCTCATAATCGAGTCAAGTACATACCAAAATAGTTATGGACTTAGACACTAATCCAACAGAACACACCACCGAATTGGATGTTTTCTAGTGCAAACAGAAGAGATCAGCAGCTCCTTTCTCTTCTTCTTCTTCTTCTTCTTCTTTGATTTCTGCTAAGAACATCAAGAGACCAACAGCCTCTCCCTTTTCCTTCTATCTTTCCCTATTAAAAGAATCAAACAAACAAAAAACTCCCCTTAGATCGTTTTCTGCCTGCTTCCATTTTCCTTCGTTGTTGGCTATTAAATCAGAAAGAAAGGGGGAGCAAGGAGATTACCGGAGCAGCCCCCCATCGCATCCCACACATCCTCCGGTCAAGCAAACACCTCCGAAAACCTCACCTGCGCCGCTGCTTCGCTGCTCCTTGTCGAGAGCTCCGTTTCTAGGGTTTGTAATTCGAGAGCAGCTTGAGCTTCGTCGGCCGACTCCGAGTCGGAATCGGAACTTGATGCAGACTGGAATAAAGGGGTAATGGCGGCTGGAGGGACAAGGGTGGGGGTGTCGATTTGTTCAATTTAGGGTTTTCAGAATCGGTTTTTAGATAAAGAGGGGAAGGAAATTTAAACTGGAGAGATACCATGATTATAGAGATTATTTTTGGAAGTTATTACACAAATGACTAAATTACCCTTATTTATTTATTTAATTATTTAATTTTTTATTTAATTTTGATTGGCCCACATTTATGCATTAAATAACATAATACTTACTTTAAACACCTGAAGGTATAAATTATAATGCTACAGATACAAGAGAATTAAGTTTGTTTATACATCAAAATTCAATATATTAATTTTTTATAGGGATACAACTTGTACCCACACCGCACCGACTATATACGCCAGTGCTGTAGTGATACGTATCTAAAATCATATAAATACAAAATAAAATACTATTAATATTTTTTTTCCCCCGATAACTTTTAGTTCTTGCAAGTTCCTCGATGTTGGAACGTCAATCAGTAGCATGAGTGCGCACGTGGTCGATATATATGTGGACATGGGGTCGTTAATTAACCTGTATCCCATAGTTAGGTGTGTGGAACGTCAATCAGCAGCATGAGTGTGCACGTGCTTCTTGCTATTATAGAATTCTTTTTACTAAAATTTGAACTTCACTTTACTATATATGTATAATATATGTTTGTACAACAGTTGCATAGAGTAGAAAGAAAATGAGACCATATAGTAATACGGGTCCTGAGTTAAGGAAAGGTGCATGGACTGTGCAAGAAGATATGCTTCTCAAGAACTATATTGACAAGCATGGTGAAGGGAAATGGCACCTCATTCCTCTCAAAGCAGGTTACAAATTGCGTAATCCTTTTGGTGTTACTAAAAAATCATTGGCCAACTCCATTTTTATGTATTTTGTTCTTTGTGTTAATAAGTTTCTTGTTATGTTTGCAGGTTTAAACAGGTGCAGGAAGAGTTGTAGGCTACGATGGTTGAATTATTTGAGGCCAAACATAAAACGAGGAGACTTTGCTCAAGATGAAGTTGATCTTATACTTAGGCTTCATAAGTTGTTAGGAAACAGGTGAGCCAACTTGAATATTTCTTAACTAGTTATTTTTCATTCATTTACGGTATATATTAATTAAGAAAAAAAGATTAGAGATACGAGTCATTTTGGATTATAATTTCAGATGGGCATTGATTGCTGGAAGAATACCAGGAAGAACCGCTAATGATGTGAAAAATTACTGGAACACTCATCAACGTTCTTGTTCCAAACAACGAAAGAAAGAACCTAAAGATGATGAATCATTACAAGAAAGCAAGGTCACAATTATTAAGCCACAACCGCAGACCTTTTCAAAAACTCTAAATTTTGGTAACACCCCACACATTATGGCTCGTCAAGGTGGTAACCCAAAATCTTGTAATGATGGTACTAAAAATAACTTTAATCTGTCCTCAGGGTTAAACTTGCCATCCATTGTACTTGATGACAATATTAACAAGTATATAGACGACTTATTTGATGATCATGAAAAGGGAATTGATGGAACAATTGGATGGTCATTTTGTGGTTCTTCAGGGAAAGGAAAGGCCTTAAATGTTGTCGATCAAGACGATGATCAAATTAGTTTCTTTGATTTCCCGATGGATGATATCACGATGGAGCTTATAAACTCAGATCAACTATGATCTTCAACATTGTTCAACTCATGTTTGTGTATTATTGATCAATAATTAAGAAAGTATAGTGTTATGTTGTGATTTATTGCATGGTATTAATTAAGAAGCAACTCTTCTAAGTTTCTATATTGAAAATATTTGTGATCTTTTAAGAGTCTGCAACACAAAAAGAAGCAATGAAGATTCATAAAGTTTTCTGACTTTATCATCAAACTTAGAAAGTCATTCAATATTCTATACAATAAATATGTCAGTTAAGTATAAACTTTTAATATATTCTATACAGTAAATATATACGTCAATTATGTATAAACTTCAACTTCTGTCTTCTGGTATCTTTATTATCTATTTTTGGTTAAATTCATTTCTCAAAGAGGATATCTTGCAAATATTCGTGTCAGACGATAGAAAACCATTAACTTTAACGTATACTTTTTAACACAAACATTCTCTAGAATTATTTTATATGACATTTTTATGCTTGATAAAGCAACATTTCTGTTCAAATATTTGGTCATTTTTAGATTGTCTGTTTAAACGAATATATAGTTTATGATTTTTAAGTAAGAAGTGGTTTTATATGACTGATACAATACTTAAGTCTTCCCGTACTAAATTCTAATGTTACTTCATTTTTATTAACTGATGGGCCAATAAGTTTCGATAAAAACCAAAAAAAAAATGTAATAAGCAACAACCAAAAGATAAAAATATAATTAAATCATGATGAACATATTAGATAATGCGATTGTTTGTTAAAGATATAGAAAAGCATAATAATAACCATATTTAATCATTTTTCAAATAATATATAACTACAAATAACCACATTTTTAGTGGGCCTACTACCAACAGTATGAAATGTTATGGTACCCTGTGAAATGCCATACGCCGATGTTTTTGTCAATTCAGTCTACCAAACAAAAAATTGGGTTCCCGGTTGCCTACTGCGGCTTTCGGCTTTTGGCAAGGATAGGAGGAGAAGACTCGCTGTTTGTATATCCTTTTCTGACCAACTCATAGTTGTATTAGACCTCCTATATTAAAAGGTAGTACGTAGTTGGTTTAGACTGCGAAACATAACTCCCTACAAAATATCATGTGTCACACACTATGAAAGGGGCTTATGGAATGGCAGGCCCACTAGATAATCCCACCATATTTAAATACAAAAATCTTGTTCTTTTTTTTATTTTTTTTTATTAGTTTTTTTTTTTTTTTTTTTTTTTTTTTTTACTTTCATTCCAAAACCCATAAAAAGACTCAACTTAGATAATGGCCAAATAGAAAAATATGTGCATTTCAGTAAACTTTTCTTATGTAAACGGTTTAAATTGACATATAGGAGATTGTGAGTTAGTTATTTGTATGTTAGCGTTTTGGTTGGTGATTGATTATAAGTCGTGGATACTTTTGATAGAGCCATTTGGGTATTTCATAACCGATTGTTGTTTTATATTCTATCTGACTCCCATTTTGTAGCTGCTACGCAACTCCATATTTACGGAGGATTTTTGGGGCTTTTGTAAGAAGAGGATATTCACATTTTGCCTTTGTTTTTTATTTTTGGAATAGTTTGGTAAAGTTTCCAATTGATGGATATATTATTTGGATGTCATTTTTTCGCCCCTAATATTTCAGAACAAACAAAGTAGAATAGTCTGGCTATATATTCCATAAACATTAAATAAGTTGTGAAAGCATTTTATTTATAAAGTAGTAAATTAGTACATATTAGAATAGTTCGCTAAAAAATTTGGGATGTAACCTAAAATCTATAAAAGGATAGCTAAGGGTTAGCATAACTGGATACGTATCCCGTTAAATTTCTCGAAACTGAAACCGAAACCGATGGTTCCTGAAATATCGAAACATGTGCAACGTCCCAAATTACCAAAAAAAAAATCATTTTTAATATAAAAGAAACCATACTAATTTCATTCTCAAACGAGTAAAATAACCAATTGTTCAAACATCACCAGTCAGAGTCATAAAATAAAAAATGTAGGACATCTCAAATAATAAAAACAGATGCGATGTGATCAAGTTGGACCATTCCTTTTGCTACAGGAAGTACCTGAAACATTTAAACTTAAAACCGTAAGCACAAAGTTTAGTAAGTTGCTAAGATACTACATAGAATACGATAACAAGCCTAGCCCAACAATTATGGTTCAATTAAGCAAGCCCAACCCAACATCCATACATTCGGGCACAACCCATTAGACATATATAAACAAGCCTAGCCCATAAAACATACAACATGCAAAAGTCATAAAGACAACAAGCATAACAATGACACTTAGTGTCATACAGTATAATGAGAAGACTCATCTGAATTAAAGCTAAATCTTAACAACTCTACTAACGTGAGCTAGATGAGCTTGTCTCTTTCTGAACACCTATGTCACATATCAATAACTCTATTTAGATTATTTCCTGATAATACGTATTTTATACTTTAGTTATACTTTTATACAAGTATTAGGGTATGTATGTTTCCAAACACATTCTTAGGTTTACACACCAAACACATGCATAACCCTAAACTGGGGCTTACTTCTTGTTTTAAACACACACACACCCAACCAACACTATAGTGGTGTTAATCATGATGACGAATGCGGAATATGAAATGATTTAGTAAATCATACAAGAATTATGAACACGAAGAACACAAGAGTAAATAAATCCGGGTTTAGCTCTTATTAGTTTTTAGAAAAAGTAAAAATGGGTTTGCAATATTTCTCTCTCTAAACTAATCTCTCATAAAGTTGTTATTCTTACATAAAATGAGTGTCACTCACTTCCTTATAAAGGAAAGATAACTCATTACACACATACAAAGGAGTAAGCACACATGACATCCAATAGTGACTTTGCACCATAACATTCTCCCCGTCAAAGTTACGATTGGATGTCTCGGCTTCAATATCCAACGAGCTCGTGCGATTAAGACCAACTCCCCCTCGAAGTAACACCGGTCTTCAAATCCACACATGAGTATCCGAGAAGCTTCGAATACCCACTCTACATTCTCCCCCTTTTTATAATCAACAAGTGATTATAAAACCCACTAAGATTGAGAAGCGCCCAAGGAATAAACTTCACAAATCTCCCTCTCGATGTGTGCCAAAAATGAAATCGCGAAAAAACTTACATGAAAAAACAATCACGAAAAAGTCATTAAAATTTTCCAATTTTGTCAAAATTTTCGACTTTTGGGTGAGAGTTGCAAGAATTTCGAAAATCCGGATAAAAACTGCCAATATCATAATTCTGCAGGGACCCGTTGCACCAAAAACAGCCTCAGATGCAAAACTTTACCCCAATTGCGAAACGGGGCATAAAGTGACAATTCACATTAACTGCATGGACCTATTTCGAAAATATTCCAATTTTTCAGAATTTTCAGCCCAATTTCGAAATTAAGTAAATTCTGCCAATACTTCGAAACTTCAGGGATTTGAAATTAATCTCCTTCATTCTTCACAAAAGTCATCCCCATTTTCAATGTGGGTTAAAACTGTCAACTCTTAGAAAGTTCAAGTATTCGAATTGTTAGTTTTTTTTCTTCATCATCTACATTTTGAAATGTAGATGCAAGCAGGGACCATCGACCAAAGCAATCGATACCCATTTCGAATCCAGTCGATTAAGCCTTCGGACCTCAATTCTCGACTCCAAACCATGACCAAATTTCGATGTCTTCAAAATCGACACTTGACATCGAATACATATCCTTCACTTTCAGTAAATGACCATCGACATCAAACCAAAATCAGTCGACCCTCAATGTCGATACCCAAGTTAACCAATCGACATCAAACCATGTACAGACCCTCGACCCTCAATGTCGATACCCAAGTTAAACCCAGTCGACATTAAACCATGTACAGACCCTCGACATCGATCCCAAATCAACTATCGATATCGATACCCAAGTATCGACCATCGACTTTAAACCTTCAATGTCACATATCGATGCTCGACTCCAAGAAATCGAATGCTCGATTATCAGACACTCGACATCACACTTTCCCAATCAATGACTGTCGATATCAATATCGATACCCAAATATCACCGAAATTGACATTGATTCTTCTCTCCCATTGTGAAGCCTTCAATATCTAGACTTCTCAAACGATGAATTCGACATCCACACCAAAAGACCAACATCGAATGACTCCAAATGAAATTCGATATACCATCTTTTCATTCCAGTTCTTCATTAGCGAAATCATTCTCAAATACCCCTTCGTTTTTAGTCCATCCACACTCAACCTCATTCGAAACGAACAACCAAAGACAATCAATTTTAATTTCGAAACCAATCGACTTCAACTATTCGACCATCAAACCAAATCGATCTTGATTCCAAAACTGATTTCGATTTTCAAGCAACTTGTTCAACCTCAAAATTTTAACTGTTTGCTATCAAAATCCCAAAGAATCGTACTTCATGACTCCAAGAAATTAAAATTCAACTATACCTATCTATGAATCGAACTCGATGACTCCAATAACTCAAGTTGCTTTCGACTTCTAGTTCCTCTTGATTTGAACTAACTACAACACAATACAAGTCGAAATTGATTTCGCCTTTTGATTTCGACACTCAACCCGTCAGAATCGACCCCAAGACATTTTCATTCACATCGAATACAACTTTGACTCGTAGTAAGATCATTCGACTCGCATTCAATCAATGATCAATCAAGTAAAAAATTGATTCCAACTCAACACAAATCGAGTTTTTGATTCACTCGATTTGACTTTAATGTTGACTGTTCTTCATCGGAGGTCAATTAATAATGACGAGTATCAGATTTTGTGTGATCCGAATTGGGCTAGGTAAATGAATAGTATCTAATTTGTAAAAATGGGCTCATTGAACAATTAATATTTCGAATTATTGGGCTTAATGTGAAATGATGATGAACAATATCGAATTTTAATTTTGAGTTCAACATATGATTGAATGAAAAGTGAAAATCATAATTTTTAGAAATTGATTTTGATTTTGAGGTTTGATCTAAAAAAAATAATTGGATCAAAAATTTGATTTTGAGGTTTGATCTAAAAGAATACCTCTAACACGAGATGTAATATGATGCGCGCCAAAACGTAATAT